TATTTTCATTCTTTCTTGTGTTATGATTTCTGATGATAGCTTTTCTCACTAGTTATTGAACTATCGATGTACATGGTAATTTAGGATTCTCTAATAAGACTTAATTAGATTTTCAAGTCTGGCCTACGTAGATTAACAGTAGTTATCTGTGGACTAGATAAGCGTTACCCTTTATGTTCAGAATGAAGATGTAGAGATTGGTGTTGCTTTTGTTGCTTGGTAAAATGAACTGTCGCAAGTGAACCTCATTGTCTGAGTGAGTGTGACTAATACTGTATTTTCTGTGTCATATGTTACTAGGCTTGTCAAGTATGAAGAAATCAACACAAAGTTCCTGCTCTGTTTCATGACAGTGATGGACACCATGTCAGTAAAAAGTTTATTTGTTCAGTCATTTGTACAATATATTTCACTGGATTATTCCCTAAAGTAATAAAGATATTAGTCCAGACCGTCCTAGATTTGCTTCAAGTGTATCACAGTTTTGTTTCAAGAACTGTACTAGTAAAACCTTGTGCCTTTGCCATGGGTCAAACAGTCTCTGTCTGTTATAACCAGAACGTACTAGAGCTTTTGCTTGTCTTACTAGGAAGGAGACTGAGGGTACATTTTGAACCTACCAGTATTTAACCCATAACTCATGATATGAGATAAGAAATTCTCATTTCTGCCTACCATACTGATACATGCAATGTACATATTATCTCATTTCTGCCTACCATACTTATACATGCAATGTACATATCTCATTTCTGCCTACCATACTGATACATGCAATGTACATATCCTAGAAATTAGTTAAGAGGCTGTGGTATTTTGTCAAGGTAAAACCTTCTAGTATATAACTTTATATATCTGTATCACCCCCAACACCTGTTTGATGGATGACGTAATGTAACAATACATGTGTACATGTATCTATCACTCGGGAGCTAGTACGTAAAAATGATGGAGTGTTTCCACATTGCTTTGGAGAAGTGGAAACCCAAATGTACGTGTTGCACAGACATATAGATGACTCATTGCCATCTGCTATTCAATTTTAGAGCACAGTTTGAAGACTGGAGGCCAAATCTCTCAACACTTCTACAGCCCATACCCTTCCCAAAAGAGTAAGTGTTCGCATTACAATACATATATGTTTCATTTTAAAAAAGGATGTTTCACTAAACATTTGCTTATGTACTATTATTACATGTCTTGAGTACAAATCCAAATTTGTGTAAATTGGTCCTCCCAGTGTACTTACTTAACCCGCTCTCTTACAGGGCTCTCAAGAACGAGACATTCGTACTGTAAGTTATCACTCGCTTTTATGTAAGGTCAGATGCCTTTATAATGTAAGGTACACGTTAGATGTCCCTTTTTTGCCATGTTATGTGTGGCAGTGAAAAACTTAAACGAGTGGTCAATCGTATCTTATGAATCAAACCAGGGTTTAATATTCTGATTATTGTCTCTCCTACTTGAATGAAAAAAAGAAAAGACTTTTCCGGTAAATGGTTTAAGTCGTCTGTAATTTAGTAGTCGTAGTGGATCACCAAGGCTTGTGAAGTTCACAAAGTGTGGTACTTACCGTCTGAGAGACATGAAAAATTGTGCTCGTGTCATTCTTCCTTTATAACATATCATTCCTACTGTGGTAGTGAATTAAGAACTTTCAAGTGGGCAGCAGAAACTCTCGTAACTGTTCGCACACAAGCCATTTTAACAAAATTATCTTAGGAATGTTTGGAAGGATTTAAAAGTAGTCAAGTTCTCGAAAGTTTCGGGATTTCATTGAATAGTAACTCTTACAGTAATCAATGTTATTTTTCCTCTGACAGGTATATCAGTGCAGTGATAAAAGCGTTTGCAGAAGATCAGCGGTGTGAGGTACCCATACCACTTTTATGCTTACCGTAAACACCTCAAGATGTTTCTCCTCTCTATAAAGCCCCCTTACCTGCCCCCGGCTAGAACTGCTTGTTGTTAATAAACCCCACTCCTACAGGGTTTTCAATGACTTTCTGCATAGGCGGCGGCTGATGGGGCTGTAAGCAGAAACCCAAACACAAGAGCCAGCTAACAGGTCTTCAAAGCGGCAGTAGACCGCGGGTAACCAGACTTTATTGAAACCCTGTCCCACTCCCTAGCGGTAACACTTCAAGTCACTGCATGCCACACAAAAAGGGATAGATGCCGGCGGGCAGCCTTGCGATTCAGTCTCAGATGCAGGCTTAACCTTGATCTTACGCTGTAGTCAACTTTTGATAGTTTGTTACAGCACGCAACCAAGACTTCTTATTCTAAGGTGTCTTTTGTATTAAATTTAATAAATTATTATTTTTTTTTTTTTTGCTGTAGGTCCATCAGTCCATTCTTCCCGTCAGAAAAGGCAAAGATGGCTGGATTGACATCATCTGCCCAGGAGGAGTCTCCTGTTTTGATGAAGGACATTTTTTCTCTCACGTGGTTAGTTCCCTCTTAGTTTTTACGCTTTTCCTATCAAAACGTAACCCTTTGACCCCTAAGAGTAACTAGAAACAAATTTCTCCTTACAATGGCGCCCCTGAAACAATCATTATAGTTACGAGAATACAGGAAATGATCATCGAGTAAGGAAGCTTTTGATTGTTAAACAATGTCTCCTTGTCAGTGCCTTAGTAAATATAAGAAGGACAGCATGGAAAATATGCATACTGATGTTAAGGTGGAAAGGGGTTAAGGTTGGGATTCGTTTAAGAGATCTTACTCGCCGGCCAGGACACAGTTGGCTTAAAGTCTCTGTAACGTTGCACGTTCTGGACACGGTCTGTATCCCTCGTACTTGAGCGGCTGCCACACTGGTTACGCTGTCATCGACTAACACCTTGCTGGTTCCTTTCAGATGGGTCGCTTACTAAACTGTTGTGGGAGAAGAAAGAAGATTCTTTTAGATCTCAAGGAGTCCATGCTTGGCCCCTTCATGCTGCTTGCGTTGCGAGGTGACAGCAGCTTTATTCAGGTCAGTGGGACACTATTCTTGTAGCAGATAATGATCGTTGATGTTATTTGCACTGTGCACAGAAAACCACTCGTTAATTATTGAGTAATCATTTCAGGGCCTTGAAATTCCTGTACATAAATGGCCATCCTTTTAGCCAATCTCTCCAATGGCCCATTTTTTTATTAATGATTGTATCTTGTCGAGGGTTAATTCAATTCTGTTTCTGTTTGTGACAGACTTTGGCATTCATGTTAGAAGTTGAGGTTCTGCAAGACGAAAATGAAAAATTACAGATCATTTCTACACTAGAGAGCACCGAAGAGGGCAAACTATGTTACGAAGCTCTGTGTCAGAAGTAAGTTTTCTGTTCACCGAATGGCCAACCCAGCGGTAATTCGTTGGGCGTGCGCAAAGTGATCAATTTTGGCCAGCCTTGCGCGCAAAATTTAAGAATTACCTACAAAAACTGCTGTATGGAAAATTTACGACAGTTAATTTAAATGTTCGTAGAAAAATCTGCAAAAGGAATTAAAAGCATGGAAAAAGTAGAACGAGCGAAGAGGAAGTTTATCAAATCACAGGTGTTCTTTTGGTTTACCGATTTGTTTTGAGCTTTCTCAAAGAAATGTTTTACGCGATTGAAACTTCTTAACCGATCGGTTTGCGAGTTAGTTTAGCCTTAAAGCATTAGGCAGGGCTGTTTCGGTGCAATGTTCGCACATGCACAGACGTTAAACCGCTGGCCTATGGTGCTTCGCCGCTGAGTTCTTGTTATCAGTACTTATCCTCTTATCTTTACTTTTTCAGAAAAGCCAAGTTCAGACAAATGGTAGGAAAACTATTTGTTTTCTTTGAAAGCACTCTAAATGTGTTCTTCCGTGTTTGCTTGCCAGTTAAGCTAAAAAACATATTATGTTTCCGCTTAATTTGTTTTTTCTTTCAGCAGGAGAAGGGTGGACCAACGGTACTTACCCTTCCCACCAAATCAACGGTAAGTGTTGATAAATTAACGACATGCACAGGAGCAACCAAAGCTAATTCAGACAGAGGCTTAAAAAAGCTCTGTTTATTAGTTGAGGTGAAAAAACGTCAGTCCAATAAGGCAAGTCTCTGCATAGTAGTCAACAAGCTCTCGTTTATTTGTCAAGTAACAAATAACTTGTCTCGCACAGGATGATGACTTGGCCCGTCTTCTCAAGTCTGGTTCCTTTGGTAACCTTCAGAGCCTAAACCTTGCCTTCACGCATGTAACCAGTGCTTGTGCTGAGTATTTGGTTCAACTGCCAGCCCTGTTACATTTAAACCTTTGGTCCACACAGGTTTGTTGACTAATGTTCTTTTGTCCCTTTTGTTTCTGCGGATAGGAAGGCTTTGAAGATGATAGACTGTCTCTCGTGGTTGCTTTAATTATCTCCTGGGAAGCTTAACCATCCCCCTTTACTTATATTGTGAGTTGCGTACCCTTCCCTCCCCCCCTCCTATCGTGAGTAGTTTATCCTTCCCTCTCTACCTCCTTCCGTTTCAGACGTTGAAACAGTAGGCGCGTTCGCAGACTTGAGGAATTACTTTCCTCGTGTACGGTCGCTCTACTTAGACATTCATCAGAAAGCAGGACTCGGGCACCGACAGTAGGATACGTATGTGTCAGAACTCGCATGCGACATAGAGAAGGTCCCCGTCTCGTTTTATTTTTTTTTGCTGGGTTACTCTCAGAACGAGGCTGTAGCACTTGAAAAGATTATGAAACCTTGCAGTGTACTGTGACGCAAATGACAGTCTTCAATTATTTTAAACCGGGTTTTATAGTTTGGTGATAAAGGCTTGCACATGGTGGCAGAGCAGCTACACAACTTAGAGTCACTGAACCTGTGTGAGACGCCCGTGACGGATGACGGACTGTCATCCCTGGTGATCATGTCCAGCCTTCGAAATTTAAACCTGAACAGCACCAGACTCTCACCAACAACATACGAAAAACTCAAAGTAAGTGGTGCAATCGAGTCGAGTTAAATTTGTTCTAGAGTTGCAAATTTTTTCTGGTAATTTCCTGTGAAGTAAGATACTAAAATGTGAACACACGGGTAGTATTTCTAGCGGTCCCTGGGGTAGGATATTTCTAGTGTTCCAGAATAACATCCATTTCTTTTCACTTTTTGCCTACCATCGTTTGTGATACAACTTCATACTTGGTTGGAATTTTACGGTCCTTTCCCCTCTGAGTTCGATGATTTATTGTAACAATTTGAAACTAAAAAAAAAAGTAATAGACCCACAACATAATTATTTAAGGGCGGTTTTAAGTTCATGTGATCGTTCCTCGTCTAGTGCCAGGAGGGAGCGTGGCCAACTGAGTTGTCAGTGTGTTCAACTCGCAAACCGAATTATGTTAGGTCCCCGTTTGATTCCGCCCCAGGCCGTGGTTGAATGTCTCTCTCTACTCTGTCAACCTTTCTTGAATTTCCCGGCCGGAATTTTGTTTGATAGCCAACAAGTGTGCATGATTTGTACTTTTTGCTTTAGAAAAAAGAAAATCTACACGTGGTTGAAGTAGGTAGCATCCATCAAAATTATGAATAAAGGCTGATAGTTTCTAAAGAAACTGTTTGGGGCTGCGTCGGTGGGGGTAACGAAATAATTTGGAGATATCAACAAAGTTGAAATGGTAAATTGGCCACCGTAACGATTGCAAAAGCTGACGTTTCGAGCGTTAGCCCTTCGTCGGAGCGCAAAAAAAATCAAAAATATACCCACTAAGTCATAATTATGCTTTATATTTTTGGTGCAGAAATTACCAAGGCTGGAAGAGATCGATGTTCGGTACACGGATGTTTGACTTTTGGTGTACCTCTTGTTTGCACACAAAACAGTAAATGCATCCGTGACCTTGTCACGCAATCAGTTGTACTCTCCTCCCCTCAAGTTTCCAAAGCTCAGTGAGGCTGTGTTGACAGTTCGACCATAATTATCAGTGGAGGACTACACGCGTGTACTTTCTTAACAGATCACCGATCATGTAACATAGTTACCGTATTTAGCTTTGAAACTAGACAGTAGTCTCGAACTTGATTTTTTTTTATCACATTCAAGACTTGAGTAGATTACATTCTTAAATAAGTTGTTCACACATCGGCTACAGAAATTACTAATTTCAGAAACTAGATGTACAGAGATCAATTTATCTGTGATGGTGTGGTACTGTGTAGCTGTAAATTGCTGTTTGTCGCATGGGAATATTATGTTCCCACCAAAATTCGCAATTACCTTTTACATTTGCAATGCACGTGAATCCTCTCCTTTTCAAACTAATTTTGTTCCTTTTTGTTTGGTCTTAACATTTTGTGATATTTTATTTTCGTACTAAACTAACATGTTGCGGACCTATTCAAGAGAGAAGTGACGAGCGAATGAAAAAGTCAAGACTTTTGTGTTTTGAATTGGAAGAATGCATCATGCGTTGGCCCTCAGCTTTTTAAAAATCTTTATTAAATATGCGCTCGCTCGTAAGTAGTTATTTTAACTTGTTTTCGGTTTTCGTTAGAACCTTGACTTCATCTTGCAAAGGGAATTTGAAATTCGCATAATTTGGAAAGACACAGCTGTATTGAGACGAGTTAATTATCTTTCAGGACTTCTCCGATTTGTGGGAGAAGAGGGTGGGAGAGGGGGATCGGGGGGTTTAGGCAACAGACTGGGAGCCAATTTCGTTTTGTCTCCCACGTCCTGTTCTTTTGTGTAAATTTTGCGCCCGCGATAATGCCACCGTGGCGTTCAACGTGGAATTATTGTGATAAGTTCCGTGGCTCGAATTTAAGAGTAGTGTTTTAGCACGTAAATTATTATTGCCAATTTAAATTATATGAAGCTCGCCTAGTGGGACTCAATTGGGATAATGGAGATATATGAAAGGGGTGTACATTAATTAAGTTAACTAGAGCTTATAGAACCTATTGCTTAAAGGATACTGCATGTTTCTCTTGCAAATGTGTTTTTTTTTTTTTTTCTCGCATGGGGTAGGCAATTTAACTTAAATTAAGCGCTATCGTGGTGTTGATTTATTTTCAATTGATACATCGCCTGTTGTTTCCTGAGGCTGAATGAATGCAAAAGGTGCAAACGAAGAGTAGGTGTTGTTGGGTAGATATATTTTACCCTCAGCAGTACTGGGAATTGTATTACATTGACGTCCAAGACTCAAGATTAATCTTGGATGCTGTCTGCCCACGTTAAATGACATATCTCGCAAAATGTGTGCATTTTTAAAGCTGAAAATAGTTTTCTGGTTATTTAGTGGTGAGAGAAAGTTAGACGGATATATTCGTACACCTAGTAAGTCCGCCTTCAAAAGATATCGTTTTGAATGCGCTAAAAATGCCTTGCTACACAGGAAATAAAAAGAGCCATGAAGTTCTTAGGTTGCAGAATTAGAGAAGTTATTCGGCTGTAAACCCTTGTGAACAGCAAACATTTAGGATAGCGGTAAAATTCATTTCTTTCTATGAAAGCCTTGTGTACAATACAGATAACAATGTAACTTTTTAGAGATAGGGTTACTTTCCACTTTCTGTGGTTTTTGTTTATATAAGGAGTAAGAGCATATCAGCGAAAAGAGCCACATTTCTTGGTTTTTCTACACCATCTTCACAGATAATGAGACCAAATGTGACGTTCTTTTCGTCGTGAAATGTAGCTTTTAAGGTGCACGGTTTGTTGTGGTAGTACGGACTTCTGAAGTCTTGCCGACGTTGTAATGAGAAGTTTGGATGTAAGATAGGCGCATGTACACTTATAAGTATTAGTGAATGTAAAGCACAACGTTCTATATTTAGGTGGTAGGGTGGTAATTTCGCTCCCAGAAGCCTCGTCACCCTGTTTGGCTAGCTGCTCTCGGTTTGCTGGGAATTACTCAAGGTCACCGTTTGACCACTTTCCTAGCTGTAGTGTTGTTAAAATTGATAAGTTAAACACCTTTATGCCATTAGCCAGTCAGAAGCTACCAACCTGTGTGGCGCCTCAGACATCAGACTATCAACATTATTAAGCACCCACGATGCTTTTCTCAATTCTTCCGGAGACTGAGAAACCTCCATTACAAATGAAACATTACTTTTTCAGAAACCACCACAATATCTAATCAACAGTTAATTATAACATAGAACGCAGGTGAAAGCTTAGTTTGTTTAAAAAAAGGCTATATATTGTTTTGTTCCAAGAGATGCGAACTTATATATAAATATCATAGAGAGTACCTTTGTTTTGTACATAAAATTTACTTCCCAAGGTTAATTAAGTTTCATCTATGTACAAAAGCGTAATGTGTAATGTTCTTTTTTTTGTTCATGGCCTGTAATTGTGTACGAGACACGAATTTAAGCGTAACTGGTATAAATTATAACTTCTGTTCCATGTGTTGTGAATTAAAAGTACTGTCTTGAGTATCTGTGGAATTTCTTTGAATCATTCCAGGGTGTTAGTATAATTCTAAGCTGTTAGATCTCAATTTTTATCCTAATCGTGGTTATTTGAAGTGATTGGATAGGTAAGCTGGCAAAAAGCCAAGGTGGCAACAGTAGTGAAAACAGCGGTGGTACAGGTTAGGTTGGGTGCCACTGCACAATCTCTATTTGTGCTTATATGACTGTGAAAATTGATGTGAATTATACGTTGGTCAGTCGCTTCAGCACGATTTGAATGGGTTTAAAGTTTGCATACAGCTCCTGGATACCAATTGATCTGTTGGATGGTGAACAACTAAACCCCAGACTGACTTTTACTGCTGTTAGGACGGATTTCAATTTTCTTATACATGGGGCGATTTAGAGTATGACCACTGTCCTCGTGAGGGATGCTGATGCAACGCTGCTTATCATATTCCTGAGTGGGAGCTACGCGCTCGACTTATGACCTAGCCTGGACCTGTGGACCAGAGCTAGGTAGTAGGGTAAAGTAAACTTGTCAATTTGAGTTATCCCTTTTATTGGCAGAATATTCTGTACTAATCCACAATTTTATTGGCAGAATATTCTGTACTAATCCACAATTTTATTGGCAGAATATTCTGTACTAATCCACAATTTTATTGGCAGAATATTCTGTACTAATCCACAATTTTATTGGCAGAATATTCTGTACTAATCCACAATTAGCACCCGAACCGGAGTCCACCATATCGACCACCGAACCATCTTAGAGTGACGTCAAAAATTACTATATCCCTCAAAAAAGAAACGACAACTTTGAGTTTACATTTACAAGACATGTTTCGACATTCTCATGTCCTCTTCAGTTGCAAATGAGCTTTTAACGGTTGTACATTTGAATTTATATTGAGGTACGTTACAAATTACGTGTCAGGGCTTACGTTTCAATTTGAATAATAAATACGCGAAAAATGTAAATAGCGCGCGCTTGACTGGATCAAAAAAAAATAATAATAATGATAAAATAAGAGACCAAGGAACAAGGTAATTAAAAGGAAAGCAATAATTCGAGAAGCTTCAATTGCTTATTAAGAATGGGTTTTTCCCACTTGATATGCAATGCCTCTTTGATCTTAATTTGGTATTTTGAAGCGGCAGAATCTAAGATCGTGAAACATTCAGTATCACAAGAGTCAAGACAGGCCCTTGATGATTGCAGGTGCTTGTAAATATGCAAAGTTTTGTCCGACAAGAGGTGCTCACGAACTCGTGTACAAATGTATAAAGGCTGATAGTTTCGAAAGAAACTGTTTGGGGCTGCGTCGGTGGGAGTAACAAAATAATTTGGATATATCAACAAAGTTGAAATGGTAAATTGGCCACGTAACGTCGGAGCTAATTTACCATTTCAACTTTGTTGATATATCCAAATTATTTCGTGTACAAATGTGGCGAGTGGTCTCACCAACATAACTGACATTACAGCCAGCACACGAAAATTTATAAACGACACGCGAACGTAGACCTAGCGGTACTGAATCTTTCACACTGAACATGTTTCTGAGTTTAAACGTACTGAAGACTAACTGTAACCCATCTCTATAAGTCGAGAAAAGATTCCAGTCGGTGAGTTGCAATTAAAAAAATAATAAAACAATATCCTTTCCTGTAAAGATCATTTTTTTTAATTGTATTTTCTTCTTTACCCTCAGGTTAACAAATGATTTATTTTCTCTTAATTGTGATACTCATCTCTATCGAAGACAGTTTCCCAAAGTTGCGCATACCAAAGGGTGGTGTTTGTAATAAGCATCCTTGCATGAATGTAGAATTTTTGAGAATTTCAAAGAAATTCTACAGGTCCCTTTTGCCTCCAAAAAATCAGAGTCGTAATTTTCTCGATCTGGAGAATTTGTGTTGGCACTGGACAAGTACGCGAATAACACGTATAGCGCTCAGATGAACAGTGAGCAGTGGCTGCGCAGAGTATTGTACCTGGCAGTCTGGGACGAGTTTCACGCATGCGTATCTCATTCTGGAAGATTAGTTCCATCGAACCAAGAAGCAACATGGCGGAATCAACAGAGAGCGCAAAAACCATCTCTTTAGAAGAAGTTAAAAAGCATAATGCGGCGGGTTCGTCTTGGTTAATTATCCATAACAGAGTTTATGATATTACGAAATTCTTAGATGAGGTAATGATTTTTTTTTTCAACGAAAACTCGCGTGATTTGCGGTGTGATGCAATCCGCACCGGCTATAATATTGTACATTACATCGACAAATAACTTGATCATGTTTTTCTGGCTCCAGATCGCATCAAATTTAAAGGGGAAAGAACAGTTTTCATTCTTCGTCAGCTCTAACCTGTTACAGGGGCTAATATGCACTTACAAGTTTCTTACAAGTGTTATTTGTCCACCAATGACTAACGACTTTTATTTATTCAATGATAAATGTTGACCTTTGCTCATTATGAGTTAACGTACATACTAGACGTGGTGCACCGATCTTCTCCTCTGATATATTTTATATTTGTATTTCCCCTTCATACACACACAATCTATGGAATAACTTAGTCTGATGTCACTTCCAAACATTTTCATTCCTCATACCACGTTCACTGGTAAACGCGAGCGACCTCCTATAATTTAAAAGCAGATTCCTGTATCACTCCTCTCCCGTAGCTATCATTTTGCCTCATGTGGCAGGAGATGAAACAGTCACCTCTCACATGAATCACTGCAACAATCCAGCACATTAAATTACATTATGTGCCAGTCACTGGGCAGAAAATATTTTCCCTTACCTTTTTCACTGCACTATTCATTGGACAGGTGCTTGCGACTTGCAACTTGGCAAATGGATTTGTATAATTTTTTAAATACCAATAACAATCATAGTAACACATAGTGCAATGACAAAAAAAAAATTGAGTAACTTTCTCTGAAGTCTTAAAAAGCTGAAAGGAAAGAATTTACTTGATAAATTTTACACATCTGGTCTGATGTATGCCTTCATAAGAGTTTTTCAAGGTAAGAACCACTTTCTAAGATGGGTGAAAAAATGAAAACATTTTGCCATTCTTTAAGTTGCTATTTTCTTCATTATTGTTTTATTGCTGTCATTAATAACACCAAAAAGTGTAATTTTATGTTTCTTTTTTCACATTTTAGCATCCTGGTGGAGAGGAAGTACTACTTGAACAAGCTGGTTAGTGTTATTTTTATAAGTGTTATTTTTATGTGTTATTTTTATAAGTGTTATTTTTATAAGTGTTATTTTTATAAGTGTTATTTTAATAAATTGTGGTTTTAGATGACATTTACACAGTTGCTTCACTTGCATCCTTGCAACTATTTGTTTTGGCTTTGAAAATTCCATAGGGGTTCATGGCATATGTTGCAAAGAATTGGATGCAACAAAAATTGTCTGTTTACATGTATAAGAGTAGGTGTTCTAGTACTTGGAACAGTGATGTCTTCTCTTTCTGAAAAGAAAAGATCTCCAGTTGGTCCTGAAAGATACCAAAAATTAATAGAGTGATTGAAAATTTGGGGAGGTGATGAAATTCACTTAGGATTCTTTATGCTTCAAGGGTCTGATGATGACTGTTATTATCATTATTATAAATGACAGAGCAATGTTTAATTAATAGAGTGATTGAAAATTTGGAGAGGTGATGAAATTCACTTAGAATTCTGTATGCTTCAAGGGTCTGATGATGACTGTTATTATCATTATTATAAATGACAGAGCAATGCTGAATTGTATGTGGATACCAGTTAGAACTTGCTCGTGCTACAAGCTATAGGTGTAGCTGACACCACACAAACTTGTTGTAATTTAGATTTCTTGTGTTTTAGTGTATTTTAGCTATAGGGCGTTGCTTTTCATGGGACACCAGTCCCGTTCGCACCTGCCCTTTTGGGTTAGAATTACATTTGTTCCTGTTTTCATTTATTTTTGTCTCTATATACTGTTTTTGTTTTTTTCTAGTTAGTACTGTCATAAACCCAATAAAGTTGTTAAAAAAAGGGTACATTGCAGTTTCAGGAAAGGAATATGACCACAGTGTCCTTTACAGAGAACAAGGAACCCTCTTCAAATTGCCTCACTCTTAATGTGTGGCTTGGGAGCTCAGTTACTAGAGCAGTCCAGAAGTATCTGGGGATAAAACCTGAATTTGTTCAGGTTTATCCTAAGCAATTTTCTTAACTGCGGGTTGCCTGTGAAGATCATTTGTCATTTGTAATCACCCATAGGTCTACATAGGATTTATTTCATTACTTATGATTATTACTACATATTGTTATACTATTTTTAAATTATTTGAATATATCAACAAAGTTGAAATGGTAAATTGGCCACCGTTGCAGTTATAAAAGCTGACGTTTCGAGCGTTAGCCCTTCGTCGGAGCGAAGGGCTAACGTTCGAAACGTCAGCTTTTGTAACCGTAACTGTGGCCTATCTACCATTTCAACTTTGTTGATATATTCAAATTATTTCATTAACCCCACCAATGCAGCTCCAAACAGTTTCTTTAGAAACTATCAGCCTTTCATTTGTATTTTAAATTAGTATCATTATTTTTATTGATATTAGCTTTAGTTTTTAATAAAATGTTTGTGACTTTGTGGTATCATTTCTGATACATAAAGAGTGAATGAAGTTTAGTTCTAGCTGCACTTGTAACTTTCATACTAAATTAATGATTTGGGGTTCTGCAATAATAAAGGTGGAGATGCCACAGAAAACTTTGAAGATGTAGGGCATTCTTCTGATGCTAGGGAACTGATGGAGCAGTACTTTGTTGGGGAGCTTACTGAGGTGAAATTTCTGATAGATTTTTTTTATGTATGTGGCCAAAATTTCAAAAGTCTAAAAAGTTTTTCTGTAACACACATTTCAGCTGTAGAGTAGGAATTTGAGTGTGGGTGATGGAAAATCATGGAAACCAGTGCTCCCGTCTGTGACCATTTTGGTTGCAGTAGGAAATAGAAACAATTTTAGGGACTAAGTTTGCAGGGGTAGTTGCCAATTCGGTGACATTTGTTTGGAGGTCATGGAATCTTTTAACTACTGGGTACCTAGTTTTAGGTTGTAAATGTATGTATAATATATACATGCATAACGCATGTATGCTCTGGGTGTTATTTTTCTGGGGACTCTTTATTTCCATTTCTGGCAAACACTTATAATTTTAGGTTGCTAAATGATAAATTAGCTTGAGCCCTTTTCTTGAACCAAAAAAAATTGAATCACAGAAAGAAGTGGTCATACTGATTCTTATGTATATTTTTGAAAAGGCATTTAAAACAAAGTACTGTACAGTATCAGAATGTATCAGTCAATAAACTATTTATATGAATATTTTTTTTATTTCAGGAAGATCAGATTCCAGAGAAGGTATGTACTGCACTAATAGTCCAACTCCTACACAACTACTGACAGTGTCAGGTTCTTCTTCAATTCATATCAAACAAAAAAAAAGTAGAGAAAAGTAGCTGGAAACAATTCTCCTGTGGGCAAATGATTTTGTTACTCCTCAAAGGAATCTATTCTGTTACTTTGAGGAAGTCTCGCTTAGTTAAAAGATCAATTTTTAGGGGTATCACAAACCAAAAAGAGAAGTTGTGCTATACACTTCTATTTAGTGGAAGGAAGCCACCGTTCAGTCCTTGTTAATGTTGTTATTTAGTGGAAGGAAGCCACCGTTCAGTCCATGTTAATGTTGTTTGATTATGACTGGAACAGTATATTCAAATTTCTTCTTTTTTCTCTCCATAAGTCTAAAGAGAAGAAAACTATTCAACATGATGAAGGCAAACCTAACTGGTAAGTTTTCAGAACATGCACAGCATATGCCATATTTCAAAATGGTAATAATAATACTGATATTGAGGATCAATAATTATTAGTTGTCAGATATCTGGAATTCATGGTCATCAAGTTCATTCATCATACTACACAAATAAGTTTGCAATATGAAAGAAGGGATCAAAATGAGAAAATTAATAAATGTAATTTTTGATTGTAAATCTTGTAATTTAAATATTCATTTTTTAGACACTGATTAGAATAATTTAGGAAAGAGTGAAAAGGGGAGCATTTATAATAAAAGAAGATAAACCAGTATTCTCTAATGACTCAATAACAAGGAAAGCTAATGTATATCTTTGTCAATTGAAATTACAGCTGTGTTCAGTAACAAGTGAACAGAAATTTGACAGAGACAACTAGGTGGGGAACCTTACTGGCGTTGTGAATTGAAATCTTTGACAAAATGTGTCTTGAGTTTTTCAAACCACTAACTTGATGCAAGAAAAAGACACTTTTAACAACATGTACACAGGCATGCTACTGATTATGTTCGATGTAGCTCTCAGGTAGCATCATACAATTGATGGGTTTTCCATTTGTCTTTTCACAGGATAAATAACATTCTTTTGCCAGCGGGAGCTGCAGCTGTTGTAATTGCCATTGCTGTTTACAAGTATTTCCACTCTTAGGAAAAATCTGTTTTGAACCAGAAACAAAAGAACTTGTAATCATTCTGAAATAATACCAAGGAAAACCGTTAGAAAGTTGATCGAAACATCCCTATCACAGGAGGTGTCTTTCTCAATGAAAAGAAACTGAATTAAAAAAATTATCTTTTTCCCCTACAAACTTTCTCTGTTTCTCTTCAGCTTTTAATGGTAACTCTTCTTTCTACTAAGAAAGACTTTTTATCAAATAGTTTAGTATGTTAAGGGCAGCTTTGGAAAGAACTGTCCATGCTGGAGTGTGGCTAAATAGTAAATGAACATTAGTTATTCTGTTTGTACTCTATTTCTGTGGTTGCTTACCTGTCAGTCTTATTCCCAGAGCCTTGGATGCTTTGTCTTGCCTAATGTACTTCTGAGGTGCTGGTCAAAATATTGGAAAGGGAGCAACAAAACTTTGCTTTCTGTGATAGCTCACTTTTCTTTTTAAAAATTAGGAATAGCCACCTGTGATAGACCCTGTGGAGAATACCTTGCAAACTCTACTGTCAATTGAATAATTCAACCACAGTTGACCTCTGAAGACCAAACTGTAGCTTGTTTTATACCGGACAAATATGGTTCATTTCTTAGTTTCGGAGGGTGCAAATTCCTTTACAGGGGACAACAAACCCAAAACCACCAGGATTTGTCTGATCTTGCCACACGTGGATCGGTGTAAATCAGTGGCTAGAAGCAGCCATGCAGCATCTGGAAACACCGGGCAAACCCCACCCTTCGGCATAGCTTACGAGGTAAACGTCAATGCCTTTTTTACAAAAAAAAAAAATGCGTGTTCTAGCCGAGCGGAGACAAATGCGAGGCGCGCTATTTTTAACTCGTCATGTTTTTGCGAGAACGAGTAGAACGTTAAGGGAAATTTTTGAGCGAGAGGAATTAGAAGAAAGCAGGGAAAATGGGCATCATTTTTTTCGCAGGTTCAAGATGGGTGACGCCTCACGCATTAGTGGCACGGCGCCAAAAATAGCATCTGTTTTGTTTTGTTTTGTTTTGTTTTGTTTTGTTTTTTTTGTTTTGTTTTTTTATTCAACCTTCCCACAGAATTTTCTAAGTTCTATGAGTACCGCTTCTGGTGAAAAGTGAACATAACACAAAAGAAATGTATTAATGATAAATGCGTCCACAGAGGTAAAAATTAGTGACTCCTGGCGTGTAACTTTAATTTGTCCCAATGCACATTTGAAGAAGTGACCAAATCGCCTTGTTAAGGTTATTTCCCACCTTCAAGAGGCCAAAAAAATCGCTTTTTCTTTTATTGGACCAGATTGAAATTTGACATTTTACCTAACGTTTACAAAAAGAAAAATTTAAAAATCTCATAAAGCGTCCGACTTATTAGGAAAACGTATTTTCAAATTAACAAATGGTAAACACCACAGCGTACACTATTGAGTTTACCATTTGTTTTATAACATTACATTGATACATTGTAGCTAAAGAGTTCCCTTTTATTTAACAAATCTTACGCGACCAGAAAAAACAAGCGCGCGCGGAAAAATAGTCTTTGCATTTGCTCACGTCAGCAGCGTACACCCATGGGCAAATGGGGGACGCTAAATTGACCAATCAGAGCGCGCGCTTTACTTTGGTTATGTTATAATGAAAGTTAATAAATCAGGAAGTTGTCATTATCTCGTCATTATCTCAGTTGCAGCCGTGGTTACACTTACCTCCTTCCCGAGGTAACCCTGTGGGTAATAACCTTGGTTGGGATGGGTTTGGGTTTCTGGTCAGGTTTAATCCTCCGGTTACATAATTACGAGGTCAACTTTTGACCTAGCAGTGTTTGGCGGGAAATTAATTCATCATGGAAATCGCAAACCGCAAACTTACGGTTTTTATTGGAGTATTCAGAGCAAAGACGAGTAAAATATACTTAATGTGAACCTCGAAAGTTGGCTATGTTTTATGCCGCGTGTCTTGAATTTGGTGTTTGTGAGGATATTTGCCGCCATTTCAGCGCAACACCACAAAAATGCCCAGCATGTGCAGCGGTTTCCGCATTTACTATTATCTTCCATCCGACTGGTTGAACTACTCTTGTGGTCAGATGAACCACTGCTAAACCCTACGACTTGGTTCGGGAAACGTCATGGGCAATTCTTTTATTCTTTTTTATGTATCCATAGCGATTTCCCATGGGCAGTTTCACTGTGGGAATAGAGGTCACACAAAACGCAGACTTCCCGTGGGTAAGGTCTCACTTTCCCGTGGGCAAAAGGTCTAGTGTAACCATTATCTCGTAAATTCCCCTTGGGGGTTGGTCGCGGCAATTTCATGTTATTTGCATGTTTTTTTTACCTTGCAAACTTGATAACATTCCTACGCGGAAGTTCTCTGCTAGTGGAAAGTCTTTTCACATGGATAAAAAACATAATTCAAAATTAGAGGGAGTCATTGGACAAAGAAAAAAAAAAAAAACAGGCCCAAAGAAGAGAAATGGCACCATTTTGTCAGGAAAATAAAAAAACAATCTTGGCACTCCTCTCCACGCTGGCATCCAAATTGCGAACAAAGAAGTCGCCATCAAATCTACATTTGTCGTTCAAAAGGTTACAAACGAAGTTTCCTTTCAATAAGCAAGTAACGACCTTGATACAAAACCATAGGCAATCGCCTCGAATCGCATGAAATCATGAATAAACCTACCCGAGGGAACTCATTCAGCGAGGAGGGTATTCCTTAAGCTGTCTGTCGATTCACTGTTTTGCTTTTCAGCAGTTTTCCCAGCTTTACTTTTTTGCTGTGGGTTTTTCCTTTGTCAACTTTGCCCATTACTCAACGTTAAACAGAGCGAGATAAAAAAACGTGAGTGCCATGCGATACTTTTCCCGGGAAAATCTTGATCCATTGATAGTGACGCCAGGACGTCCGGATCCCGTCTTCCCATTGGTTCGCGGTTTCAGGAGGCGAGATCATCTCCTGGGCCCAGTTGTTCAAAGAGCGGATAACACTATCCAACGGATAAATCGCTATCCAGCGGTTAAGCGTTAACAAAACGTACTGCGCTATCCACTGGATAGAGATTTTATCCAGTGAATAGCATTATCCATCCTTCGAACAACCGGAGCCTGGTGTGGCGCTAGGAGTTTACAAACCTTTAGAAGCTAAAATCTCGCATTTGATTTTGGGAGATATACATCCACTTTGGGCGAATTTATAGGCTATTTAAAGTTGATCGATTTTCGTGAAATTTCGCCGAAACATTCCAGGGATAATGGCGAACGAAACTGTGTCAGGAAATTCTGATATTTGAAATATTTTTTACGACCAATCAGAATATCGGAAAAGCCAAGGACCCTCGGTCGTCTCACGCCTTACGGACTCCTTACAACCCCAAATGAAAATGTCGCCTAAATTATATTTTTATCGCAAACTGCGTTTATTGAAGCTTTCCTTTGATGCATAGTTTGTTAGGGTTTTCTTGAAACTAGCGCGCGTACGAATTTTTTCCCGAAGGACAGTCGCATTCAATGTTATTTATTATTCAATGTTAGCAGCCGGCAGTAATGAAATCAACATATCTTTCATGCTGGTGATCATGCATTCTCACGTTTCCGTTTGTGGTTTAACCAATGTTCCATGTCGAATAAATATATCTTTTAACCAAGCGCGAGGGCCGTACTGGGAGAATATCGGACAGAGGTCTTGACAGAGGTCTTGACAAAAAGTGCCCGGTCCAATACTTAGAGAATGTTGACCGGCAATAGAGCATTTTGATTGGTTGATTTTAGTTATTGGCCCTCTGACAGCCCGAGTCGTGTAATAATTAAGAATATAACTTCGCACTTTGCTCTAATACAGATGATGTTAGAAAAACCGTCGAAACGTATCTTTCAGAATAAAAATTTGTTTTTTTCTTTCAGTCGTGTTTTTATTTTTGTCCACAATTTCAAAATATCAAAAATATGGGGAAGAATTTAAGTGACCAGCCATACAGACATGACTGGTGCACAGCCAAGTGTCAGGCGTTGAGTTTACCGTAAAGCCGGTAAAATATTTTTTCTCACGGTAAGGATATGAAATAAGAATCGACTTGGTACTTCAGGGCAGAATATTTTTGAACTTCGTGATCGTTGTAGGAGCTCCAGGAAGTTCAATGGAAGTACTTTGATTTGATTGGCTGATCTGATTGGCGGTAAAAAAGACAGAGAGGGAGCGCGAGGGGTGTGCTGGAGGTGTGACAGGTGACTGACCAATCACGTCAATACAATTACTATATTAAATTTACATGTGGAAGATAGAGAATACTGTCGGTGAAAGCCAGAGTCACTCTTCAATTTCACTCCTTTTTTGGAACATTTCGGGATCAAAATCACTCAGAAAACAACATAAAGGTAATATTTCAATGTGTAAGACATGAAATGTTGATTTTATGAGTGTAGTGCCACGTTGTATGATTTCTGCCCGAAGATTCGTAAACGACGTCGTCGCGCCGAATTGAAGATGAAAATTTACAAAGCCGCATTTGCACCTGATTTGGAAGTTATTATTCGTGAACTCACCACATCGTACACTTTAAATTCCATTCAGTTGTCTTATTCACACACTGTACTCTGTTTTGCTGTTATGAATTTACAAGCACGTCGCAGTCGGTCATGAAAAGAATTCACGAGTCTTTCACTCAGTAATAATTTGGATATATCAACAAAGTTGAAATGGTGAATTGGCCTCCGTAACGATTACAAAAGCTGACGTTTCGAGCGTTAGCCGCTTCATCGGAGCGAATGGGCTTTGTCTGAATTCTCTGAGGTTTTGCCGGTGAGGTTTTTATCTCCGCGACCGATAACAGAATTATATCAAGACAGACTTAACTACTTTCTTTAGTTCAGACAAAAATTAATGTGTAAGATATTAAACTGTTTAACCTCCTGTGCATCATGCGTCGCCCTCTGCATTTTGGCGCCTCAGGATGTTCGAAACGGATGTTTGTGTGTTTGAAGTTGACTTCGTGCCTCTTCTTATTTTTCTCGAATTTCTGTCAGTAACTGAATTTTGAACTTTTAGACTTCGAATTCGTACTTATAAGCTATTTTCAGGGGGCTGATTACAAACTTGTGTTGTTCTTTCAAGAAAAATTAGCGTCTTGTGACGATGGCCGACTGTGGTTGTTGGGTTGATTGACTTTTCGTCGGAACCTGCGAGCCGTGTTGACGCTTAAGTCCTTAACAACACGAAATCTCTTCTCGCCAGTAAGATAAAAAACTAAACTTAACTAAACCAAACTAGACCCAAAGGAGAAGAGAAAAACATTCTGCCTTGATCTCACCAAACACAGGAGCTGTAGTTTGTATATAGTGACTCGCCTTGCGTGTCTTGCCTAACGCTTTCCATATGACCACTCGCGTAAAAAGCTGTCAAGTTCGAGTTATGCGGTGATATGTGCTACGTTCATAGTATTTGAAATTTAAAGAAAGAACCTTTCTTTATGACTTGCAGAGAAAAATGAAGTTTACACGCATATAGTAAAGTACAATTTCAATGCAGTGTCTAGGCGACGACAGAGTTATCGAAAAATACGTAAAATGTGCATTAGATATGGCAACCTTTACTACGAGATATTGGAGGGAGATAATGTCTATCCTTTAAAGAACTTTGAGACTCGAGGCTCAAAGCTCAATTGTTCTTTAAAAGACTTTGTCCCTGAAACGTAATATTCGTCTTTTTGCGCACATGTTGGACAATGCCCTTATTCATGCCCGTCTCGATGAAAACTGAACGTGCTGAACCTTGCCGAGGTCTGTTCATTTGTTTAAGACTGTATTGAGTTATTATCCCTTGGTAAGATCGGACTTTGAGGAAGCTTTAACGGGAGACCTGAATAGTTTATTTCTTTACAGGTGACAATGAAAATTTGAGTTGTACACGAGCCTTCATTGTGTAATTTATGCACATACCCTGTTACAAGCAAAACTTAGCCGAGTTTGACTAATGGTCGTGGGTCGTGGGTACAAGTCGTGGGTCGTGGGTGTGGGTGTGGGTGTGGGTGTGGGTAAAAGTCGTGGGTGTGGTTAATACTTAATAATAAAAATAACCATTTAAAATATTAAATATAATAATACATAAATTTTATACAACCCTGTCATTCATTAATTTAACTGTACTTTCTTCTTGTTATTTTATTTTGTTTATTCAATTTACCCTACTTAACGTCTATTTTTATCTGTTATCTCACTGTCAATGAAATTATTAGTTTCAGTTTCGAGACAGGAAGAGAGATAAATCTTGTAATTACATTAAATTAGTCTCACAACACGATAATTCCGGATCTGTCACCAGCGCGATCGCCGACGAGCGTCCATTGGTCGGCTACTCTGGGATTTGATTTTTCCCTTTTTCTGCGTTCTAGGGTAGTTGTCAAGGGAAATCCACAGGACATTCTTTTGTTCTCTTGCAGTTTTCAAGCCTCAGACGATAAAACTTTCCCGAGGTAATTTTCTTAGGGAAAAATCGGTCACACTTGCAAATTTGAGTTTCCCTAGGGAAACTGTCAACAAGTTAAGTTTCCCTAGGACAAAACCCTGTAGTGTGACCACAGCTAATATCGCGTTTACGATCCTCCACTGTCGAGTTACCAGTCTGGCAGAGGTTATGTGTGTGGCTTTTGAGTCAGTCGACTTGTGTACAATCAGTTTTTCTTTGTGTATACAGTGTGTAATTACCAGATTTATCTATCATTCTTTTGTCATTGATGTTGTCAGACGAGATCTCGGAATTTCTGTTCCTTGGCCCCTGACTTTAGCCGCAAATATAGAATTCACGAGCGCTGTCGCAATTTTAACGTTATAGTACTACTATATGAAATCATTTTTGGTACAATCGTACAAAGCAACTCGGGTGTCTCGTTAACACAGACCTCGAAAACGCAGAACGCAGACCGCAGACCGCACAGCTCGAAAAACGTGTACACAGTGTGTAATTACAAGATTTAACTCTCTTCCCTTTGTTATCAAACGAGATCTCGGAATGCGTCGCAAAACTGAAATTAATTTCATTGACAGTGAGATAACAGATAAAAATAGACGTAAAGTAGGGTAAATTGAATAAACAAAATAAAATAACTAGAAGAAAGAACAGTTAAATTAATGAATGACAGGGTTGTATAAAATTTATGTATTATTATATTTAATATTTTAAATGGTTATTTTTATTATTAAGTATTAACCGCACCCACGACTTTTACCCACACCCACACCCACACCCACGACCCACGACTTGTACCCACGACCCACGACCATTAGTCAAACTCAACTTAGCCAGCGAATGATTACATAATAATGCCTGGGGAAAAGATCAATCATCAGATAACCCTTTGGAATTATTCACTATTACTACAAGTTAACTATGTGTGAGCGCATAGTTTGTTTAACTGTAGACACGTTTTTTTCCTTTTTTTTTTTTTAAATAAAAGACACTATTATGATGTTTACTTGTGATATTATCATGAAACAGTATCAAAACGATGTGATATTTGACAAAGAAAACTTATACGATCACATTGCCTGTTTATCCAGCTGTTGAGTTAGAGGTATTAAGATCCACTGGCATAATCTGTAGTTTTTATCTACCTTTTCCATGTGGGAAGGATTAATTATCTAGTCAGTCTTCTGCTGACAGGTGCACATAGCTTTCAGGAGATGGTTTTGTAATGATTTAAGGTCCCAGAACATTTAGGCATGATTCGTTTGTTTCTTTTTCAAGGAATGTCAACTGCAAAGAGAAGACGATGGCATGTTCCTGCATCAGTTACAGCAAAAACTACATTTAATCCCATTAGATCTATTGTGGACAGAATGAAGATAACACCAAATCCCACAAAGAAAATGATTGCTCTGTCAATAGGTAAGTTACTGTGAGGAAGTGTTGCCAGACACATGACCTGGGTCTCTGTGAGAGGAAAACAGGTGAGACACCAGTGAATGGAATTGAAACAGACTTTGCAGACCAAGCTAAGGTGGAATAAGAAAATCTTTAAAATTAGGAAATATCACAACCAACGTACGAGAGGTGTAGGAGGGTACTGTGTCATGTTAGGAAACAAAATGGCAACAATTGGTTATATCTTTTACTTGGCTTAGTGCAATATTAATTTAATTGTCTTTATTGTTTAGGGGACCCATCAGTGTTTGGGAATTTGGAGCCTTGCCAGGAGATGTTGGATGCTGTTGTGAAGTGCCTGAAGCAATCAAAACATAATGGATATGCTCCTTCAACAGGTCATTAGTACAGACAACTTTGTTTCTGGATCTTGCTGTGTATCTTGAGGCATCTCAGAAAGAAAAGTAGGGTTTTTAGTAAAGTTTTTTTAAGAGAGTAATTGAAGAAAAATAGACTGAACTATACACCGGTTACATTGGTGACTTAAGGGGGCTTGGCTCAATACAGGATTTACTATAATTCCTAATTAACATAACTCATGACCATCATGGATGAACACTTTGATATTGCAGGTTACGTCAAGGCTCGAGAGGCTATTGCTGCAGAACATTCCCATCCATTATCTCCAATAACTTACAAGGTAAATGGTTTTAATTAATCAACCAGTAAAAATACTTTTGAGAAGAGTGTCAATTTCAGCAGAAATTCTCAGTTCTCTGACATTTTCGATAAAAGTTTGTGGGAGGTGAACAATCTTGTCTCACTCTTGACAACCTTTGAATATTTTCTATCCAGTAATAATTATTATAACTGTGTGTGCATGTTTTTCAGGATGTTGTCCTGGCATGTGGTTGTTCTGGAGCTTTGGAATTAGCTTTAGATGTTCTCCTAAACCCTGGAGATAATGTTCTTCTGCCCAAACCAGGCTTCTCTATTTACCAAACATTGAGCATATCCCGAGGCCATGAAGTCAGACATTACAATCTTTTGGTAAGGTTCTCAACTAGAGGTATGGAAAACTTTAGTGTACAACCCAGGGCCTATTTTTTGCTACTGCCTTAGTTATTATCTATAATTCTACTAACAACAAGGAAAAGTTAAATTTATTTCAATTTTCAACTGGTATCTTTTCATGAATATTACTTGTACAGTACACTGTTGAAAATGAAAATAAGATGTTTGTAAATGACTTGTCTTGTTTAGCCTGAGAGATCTTGGGAGATTGACCTTGATCACCTCGAGTCGCTGATCGATGACAGAACCAGAGCAATACTTGTTAACAATCCCTCCAATCCTTGTGGGTCAGTTTATTCAAAAGAACACTTGGAAGCTATTCTGGAAGGTAAATACACACCATCTTAAGTCATCTAAAAGAAAAAACTTTGCCAAAAAAAGTAACTTAGTACATGACACTGTCATCTTAAAAAGCTTGATAACACCTATTAATCAAACATTCTCGACTAAACATCATTATTCTTTTCAGTTGCTGAAAGATACATGCTTCCTATCATTGCAGATGAAGTGTATGAATATGCTGTAAGTACTCTATGAACACTACATGAGACAAAATAATACATAAAACAAAATGAATCAAAGAAAACTAAAAGAAGCAACAAATTGTGGCAATTTTTCCCCCCACTTAGGGACCGGTCATTATTTACTGGAGGGGGGGGAGGGCCACTAAACTTTCTTTACTTCAGTCTTTATTGAATATACAGGTAAAAATACATACCTATATTTACATGTTTAAATTATTAATTAAAAAGTTAAAAAGCAGAAGCATATTTAAAATACAGTCTATTAATATAACTAGCTTTAAAACTTTCTGTGTTGACACAAGGTAGTGGGCTTGTTTGAGTTCCCAAACATTTGGAAGATTCTTTAACTTTGGGCTACAATTGTACAGTGGATGAGTAGGCAGGCAGCTGAGAAAAAGTTTGGCCAAGAAGTTGTGGCCTTCCCCCACAAAGGATTTAAAAAAGATTGACCCTCCAAAAACTCAAATAAAAAAAATTGTGACCCTCCCCAAGGGCAAAAACTGTAAAACAGTGGTTTATAAATAACTCTCAGCTTTTCACATAGTCAGATATCAACCTTCTTTAGAACAGAATCAATAATAAAGATATCGTCCTTTCCATGTCCTTTCTGTTCTACCAGATTTAGTAGTACACAGAATGTCACTTATTTGCACTTCTTCAATCGCTAACGCCACCACTGCTGTCATCATTGTCGTTATCTCTGTCATCGTCATCATCATAATCACTGTTATCGTCACCCTCGCTGTTATCTTCATCATTTTCACTTTGTTGTGCAGTCTCTGTTGTTTCATCTTCATCACTTTTGCCACCGATTTCCTCCAGTACTACATCAACTGATTCTTCTTCATCAACAACTGTTAACTATTGATCTCGCAATATGGGCAGCAAAAATGTCTACTTTGTCCTGTTTCAATGTGTTCCTTGTACAGCTAATACCATGTTTGTCCAGGTAAAGAACAAGAGAGGAGACTTTCAGCTTTCTAAGCTGCCCTTCCCTTTTCATAAGTGTCCAATCGAAATCACCATATGTTTTGCTTCTTTCTTCTCTTTGAAGCCTTTTCCTTGATTCTTCACGTTTTTTTTTTTTTGAACTTCAGATCTTCAAGATGGCAGACATAATTCTTGACAAGATGATCTTTTACTATGTATTCTCTGCTTAATCTCTGAAAAGCACTTAGTTCATTTAGTAATCCTTTCAAGAGAAATACATGCATAGTTGGTAAAGTAGGTTTCTGTGAATATTATAACACTTTTGATGTTAAAAGAAGAAGTATATTTTATGTTATTGTCCTGTTTGTCGCTATCCATGTTACCTTCATTAAGCAATTTCGGCAGCTGAGCCCTTGGTTGAAAATCTTCCAAAGTTCTGTCGTTTGCTGGAGTGTCATTCACATGGCAGTAATGGAATCCTTCCCTGTTCCTGTCCAGATAGGGACGCCTCACAGGGTCTAGCTTTCGTCTTGACATTTTGTGGCAGAAATCACACTCATTACCATCTATAAAGAATGTAAATATGCACATACTCTTAATTAAAGGAATAACATGAGGTGTTTATTCAAGAAAAACTTCAGTAATACAGGTAGACAAGAGTCTATCTCTCAGCTATTTTTGAGAAGGACATGTTTAATAAAAGTTGTTTACTTCTGAAAAAAAGAATAATGTACGATAAAAGGGCAAAGAAAATTAGAAATAACTTGAGTCTACAGTTATTGTGTGTGTCATTTAAAATCTGGATTAGACGAAGACTCTCGCTGTGAAAAAAGTCATATAATAAGAGCTTGTTTTCAAATTGAACAAAAGAGAGAAGAAATGGTTGGAGTTACTGGTATGCCAACATGATACAACTCGGCTTAGCAGTGACGCAAGGGACTATCTTTTGAGCCCACTAGGCAAATATGAAGGCAATGCGGCAACCAGTAACAGTAGTTACCATGGCGATGACAATGAAGATGATGATGATCTGAATGATGATGATGATGGTGACGACGACGGATATGATGATGACGATGACTGCAGTGTTTTTGAAGCGGCAAGCCGAATCAGTCCAGTGCAGGAGGATACTTCAGATGACCATTATGGCCCATACTGGGATAATTCCCCAACTTGCACACCATACCTGGTCATGTGTCAGACTAACTGTCAGAAGTTTTCTATATTACTTTTATTCTCGAAGAAAATACTGCCAGTTTCTGTTAAAAAAGTAGAGCATATTATTAGTTATCATTAGTTATATAATCAATGTGTGGTAGCTTCAACTGATCATGACATCTTCTCTTGAGTTGTATTTTTAAATTTGTACAACATTCATACAACAAATGAATCATGCAACAAACCGACACAAATATAAAGTGTTTCATTGAACAGTTGTGCCTTTAATAAAGACCTTTTACATTAATAACACATGTACTTTTCATGCACAGAACTCTGAGTTCAAAGACTCGTGGTGAATACTTATAATCTCAAAAAATTGTAGCCCTCCCCTCAATGGAATTTTTTTTTAAATGGCCCTTCCCAAAATGGAGCTCAAAAAATTGTGACCCTCCCCCCCCCCAATAAATAATGACTGGTCCCTTAGTGTATATTTATTTTGGAATTCATTTACTTGTACTAATGGTGATCAACTCTTGATAGATGAACAACCAGTCAGTCCATTGAAATGTCATTCTGATCAATTTGCTTCAGTTAATAAAATGTTTTATTTCTATTATCATTTTCTGAAGGTTTTCCCTGGATATAAGTTTTATCCACTAGCCCAGTTATCAGACAATGTTCCCATCTTAACTTGTGGTGCAATTTCAAAAAGGTATGGAAATAAGGATTTGCCTTACACAAATCTGCTTCCATGTAACTTCAACTATTGCAAACAGCAATGTGACAAACTGTTTGTTTGTTTTTTTGTTTTTCAGTCTTCTTTTCCTCATTTCAATTTTTTCTGCTATTATTGTTTATTATTATCTATTTGTTTGGTTCGGACACTGATAAGATTTCCTTCCCTGTACAATAATGGTAATTCCAAATTAAGTTTACTCACTCTAAATCTGACCATACTTACTGCTAGGTTTCTTGTGCCTGGCTGGAGATTGGGATGGGTCCTAATCTATGACAAAAATGAAGCATTTGAAAGTGAGGTAAGCTACACTAAACTAAACCATCATCATCAACTTGCAAATATGTAAATAAAATAGCCTTATTAAGACACTAAAATATTAGTAACTCATCCTGGGCCCAGTTGTTCAAAGTCCAATTGACATTATCCCAGGGTTATTTTCTTTATTACCTTGTTCAAAAGCCTTTTTCAGATAATTTCCTCTATTCTTTTCAGGGCATCCATTCATCAAATTGTAGACAAAAGAAATGATACTGAATTTTCTTTTAAAGTTTTCAAATCTGAAACCAGATTTCGCAGTAACCTTGGGTTATCTTAACCCAGCTCTGATCTAAATGATGTCAAGACCAATTGAATTTAACCATAACTGTGCATATCCTAGCTTGTTACTCTACTATCCTTTGCTTACCTGCAAAAATGAAAGGATCACAATGACCAACAGAAATGATAATTATTATATATTAATTTAGTATTTGTTTAATAAACAGGTCAGAACAGGACTGATAGCACTTTCCCAGCAAATCCTGGGCCCAAACACTCTCATTCAAGGTGCCCTACCAGAAATACTGACTAATACACCACAAAGCTTTTTCGATAACACAATGAGGGCCGTCCAGGTAAGGAGAAATGTTGTAGCTCTATTATCCTCACTTGGAGATCAGGATAGCAAACTTAGAAGCAAAATTACACTTGGTTTCATAATCTTTAAAAGATTAATTCTCAAACAAGTGCCAGGAGTAACATGGGATTACTATGGGTTTTCTATTACCACACCAAGATAAATAGCACCTCTTGCTTCACCAAAACAGACACAAAACTTGTGGTGACCAGCTCAGTTCACTGTCATTTTCCCTGGCTCAAGGTATTTTGCTTGGTTATACTTTAAGTCCTCATTGGCTCTTTATAATAATCAGTGTGCCTTGATTGGTACTTCATCTTGCTACTCTGCTTTCAGTCTAAGACCACCCATTAGTGAAGAGACATTCCAAAGTAACTAAAAGAAGCAAAGTTCACTTTTCCTTCCTTTGATAGAAAAATGCTGAAATACTTTACGAGGCACTATTAAGAATTCCAGAACTGGAGCCCATTATGCCATGTGGGGCGATGTACATGATGGTGAGTACTCCCAAGAGAAGTGGAAATTAAACATCAGAAATATCACTGAAAACATATGCCCTAAAAATTAACAGTTTAACTGCAAATTATTAAGCCTTGAAATTTTGCAGAATTTTTTCCCTGATATCCATGGTCACAATGTACCTTGGGATCAAACAGCAAGCACTCTTATTTGGACTTTGACTTGCCCCACTGTGCACAAGACATTTCTTTCAGCTGTTGCCCTGAGTTACCTAAAGATTTCAGTGGCTGGAAATTGAATAATTTGTAGTCAGGTAGAGAGGTTTGATATTTTCCCAGAGTGCATTGCACAATCTAGTAACAAGTCACATTTGCTTTATAAAAAATGGGTGTAGATACAAAAGAGGAAGTTCTTCCTGCGGCTAAAAGTTTTCTTCTGAACAAGGATTTGATAAAAAGCCCACACTGGTACACACTAGTGTAATACAAACCTACTTTTGACTTGGTCTTTGATTACTATAATAATAATAATAACTTTTATTTATATAGCACTCATATCCTGAGCTAATGGCACTTTACAACACTGTGCAGGGGACTTTACCAGACTGCTAAGCAGTTTACAATCAAATAAAGGCGAATCTAACAGATGCCCCCTCCTCCCCAATTCCCTGTAAACAGGACAGACCACATCACAGTAATCTCGTGAGTGGGTTCTTTAACGTCCCCTGCCTAACCAAATTAACTAATTAATAGATGCAGGAGACGGGACCTCCGGTTTATTCGTCCTTATCCGAGAAGACTAGAATGTCTATCTTCTTGATGTTATAGAAAGGTAGCACATTCTCCTCAGTTATTTTAAGACCCCGAGTGTTGGTCTGGCTGGGGCTTGAACCCTTGACCTCCTGCACAACAGTCCGGCGCTCAACCAATTGAGCTAACCGGGAGTCAGTTACACATGAATTACACATTCCACATGAATGAAAGAACTAGAAGCTGAATGAATCTTGTTTTTTTTAAGGTTGGAATTGACATATCCAAGTTAGATGGCATTGTGGATGACTTAGACTTCACTGAAAAACTGATTTCAGAACAATCAGTGTTTTGTTTACCAGGAAAGGTAGATAACTGTAACAATACCAATTTTCCTTTTGCAGTATTTAACTGCAAGCAGCATTGTGGCCACTCAGTGTTATAGGAGAGGAAATCAAATAAATGCTATCTAAATTAAAAAAAAGAATTGGACCCCAATTAATTGGATTGGAACTTTTAACAAAGTTTCAGCCATTCTTAAATTACCAGTTTATCTCAAATTCCACATGACTGTGGCTTGACATGGTAATTTTGTCAAGTATTTGCTAAGTTTAAATTGCTCTAACTTTCCTTACAATTACATTGCCCTTCTAAGGGCACTCCTCACAGTATTATTTTGTGCATGAGGAGGCAACTTATTTAACAATCAGTTCTTCATTTCAGTGCTTTCAGTATCCAAATTACTTCCGCATTGTTCTGACTGTACCAGAGGAATTGACTCAGTTGGCATGCAAGAGAATCAACGAGTTTTGCAAAACTCACAGAAGAGTGATCATTGAAAAACCTCTGCCTGAATAGGAACAGGAGCATGATAACATCATAATAGGTACATGTGGTAATTAAAAAGACAAAAGTTGGTAAATTCTTCCTCAGTAGTTGGCTGACTCAGACTTAGATTGCATCTTAATAACAAGTAAATTATAAGAAGAAAACCAGCAACAATAATAGGTGATCAAGATGGTTTTCACAGATTTCACTACTTTCAGAGAGATTTCACAGTGTACAAGATAGCAAATATTTCAAGTTTTCTAATTTAATGTAGGATATTCATGGTTGCTACAGTCATGGTTGTGGCTGACCTTGGCTAAAAATATAGACCACTTTCATAAATGGCTGCCGGATTAATATTCTTTTGTTTAAATTTAAATTAGCCCTTCTGGCCTTGTTCTCCAGTACAAAATTCAAAAGAATACATTATCTCAAGCGAGACCGGAAGGGCTAATTTCAATTTAAACAAAAGAATATAAATCCGGCAGCCATTTATGAAAGTGATCTATTCCTCTCTCTAACCAAACTAAAAATTCCAATTTTTTACATTTTTTATGACAATGCACAAGAAATTGTTAAGATACTTTAATTAACTGGAAAATAATTTTACCTGAAATTTAACAACTGACATAGCAAAGTTGCAGTCAAAAGTAACTTAAATACAACCAAATATTTGATATACCTGTTGAAAATTGTAAAACATTGCAACTGGGAAGATGTTTATGTAACTTAGACAAACAACTTACATTGCTTGGCTAAAACTGTGATCCAAGTCAAATTTTTGTTTGAATTGCAGGCCCTTCGTCTTCACCCATGTTTTAGTGAACAGTGTATATAATTTTCAGCAGATATGCTGGATTCTAAGGTTCTGTTTGAAACAGTTGTCTTTATTGAGATGTGTACCATTTCTTAAGGCTCAAGGACATTTCTTAAATAACAGGCAGACCTATTTTTTAAACCTATGAGGAAGAACTTGGGGTTAAAAAGTTTATTCACCCTTTGTTTCAAACCAAATTTGTCCAAAAAGTTAAATTGTGGAATTTTCAAACTTAAAACAACTGAATATATTCTATCTTTGTACTGTGAAAGACTATTTTCATACTTCAATAGTTGACAACTTTTCTAGTAAAATATTTCTAGAATATTTGCTACATGTACATTTTTTCAATATGTTGGTGGTCTGTCAGAGTATAGCTGAGAACCATGTTTTCGTTATTTAAGCAGACTAAGCCAGTTTGAAAATAATATTTTGGGATTAAATGCTTTATGCGATATTAATATCCTCAGTCATAGGGTAAAAAGTTTATGTCTAGGTAATTGCTTTTACATAATGGAGCCCAGTTGGTGCTCTAACAGATCAGAAATAAGTTTGATTTGTGTGCCAGTCAAGGGAAATATAATCACACTGTTTTATTTACAAATTTATTTACAAAATGTTACACATTTTCACAGTTAAATTAGAGGGATACCATCCCATTTGTCAGTGCTGAAATTGTAAGGTATATATTGGAAAAACATATTTATTTAAAAGTTATTTAGAAGACAAAGTTGTTGTATATTCACATTGTTGGTAAAGTAATGACATCGTATAACAAGTGTAATGATTGTTGTGGGAGAGAAATGAAAATTGTATTAAAGAGTTTAGAGTTCATGATAACCACTGAAAGAAAAGTCTTTCTTCTTCTCTTTGGACACTAAAACAGTGAATGAGGTGATGTAGCCCTAATTCATCATAAGTTTACTTGATAACCCTTGAACTCCTAACATCTAATTTCTCCTTGCAATGTCACCCCTGAATCACAGATTAAGTCCAGACTAAAGGAAATGATCATCAAGTGAACTACCCTTTATGTATCATGCCATAACTGCTTTACTCAAAGATAAAAAATGTCCCCAAGTATTTGACTTAATTTTCCTGTTAAACCACAGTTTTACATTTCTTTTAGCTTCACTTACTCTTCTTGCCAAAAGTAACCAGTTGACACCTGGGTGGGTGCAATTTACTCACGAGTAAAAAGAAAAGAAGATAGTCCTCTCTACCAAACACTTTTTGACTCTATAACACCAAATATCTGATTGTCACAGTAACTCTCCCTGCTAGCTGCTACACATTTCCGAAGGCTCCAGTGTACATGTAAGTTGAAGGGAATGTTGGTTTCATAAAGGTTGGTCAGGAAACAAAAAGTTGTCATATGATGTGTGACTGGGTAAAAGCAAGTTTTTAACTCTTGCTTTTTGTTTTTGCACTTGCGTAGATCGTTGTCATTGGTTAATGAAACCACAGTAAGCAAGTACATTTAACTGACTTAGAAAAAGGCATGCCACTCATGGAAATTAACAAGGTCCCCAAAAATATTGCTATTTACAATATATATGTTGAAAGATTTCCTTTAAGATTTGCTTATAGAGCACTAATCACTTCAGTCTTTATTTTCTTGTATTTATTTCATATCAAACCAGAAGCTATTATTCGAAAAAACTTAATACATTTGGTCTAGCATAATTTCCAATTCTTGTGCCATCATGCATTGGTTTCTGTTATGCAGTTGCAGTACCAAATTATATGTTAAATTGGATGCACAAATGAAAAGAGTACCCCTAACAGAACACCAGGAAATCTACTTTGTTTAATTTGGTATTCTGCATTCAACACTCGATGATCTGTTAACTTGCAGAACAGCTAATTCACACTGGCAAGGTGTTCATTAGGCATCAGACTTCAGAGAACTCTCCCTCAACAACCCATATTCTTCAACTAACTTTCAATAACCTGAGCTACAGCATTTTCTATTCAAACTTGGAAAAAAATTTAGTATTCCTGTTGTTTAAAACTGCTCTACTGATAATATATTATTTTCTCTATGAAAACCCCGAGTATGTAGTAGATAGCAGATTGTAGATGAGTATTTGTATTTAATGGAATGAAGCTCTGCCTGAGACTCACTGATTTATAGTCTTTAATTCTGGAAACAGGAAATTACGATTTTAGTTACACGAAACTGTTCTGATGGAACATGACTCACAACGGATTTATCATTTCACGCAATGAACCCTGATAACGATTCGGCTACCTTGCTCTTGAACTTTCAGAGGAGTTCTGTTGATCTTCCACTAGTCTTTTAAAAGAAAACGAGGACCACTCTTCCATTTATCCTCCAGTGGATCGATAAGCGTCATGTAAATCTGTACTCTTTATTGACCAGCAAAGTCCTCACCAAATTTCATTCGAAAACTGTCATTCCTCAAACCCCCCGCCCCTTTCCTCTACCCAAATTCACCACAAATACAATTCGGCAGTTTACTCAGGAAATTTTTCTGCAAAAGCTATAATAGATCATGTCATTAATAATTCTACACCACAACGTTCTTTGAAGGAAAAATAGGAGTGGGTACAAAAGTGAGACAAGATTCTAACCAAAAAGAATGTGCGAATTGACATGTTCCAATTACTTTCACATGTGTTTGAAAGCAGGCTTGCACGACAATTCGGTAGTTTACTGTTCACTGGTTTTGGATATGACAGCATGTTAACAACCGCCTTCAAACCACCCAAGAAAGAGCAAAGAAAAGGGAGACAGAGCAAACCCTTGAACACAGAGAGTGAAATTACTCACGGCTGTATTCCCCTCAATCTCCGCGTCATTTCCAGCCTCAAAAGCGGTTATTATTCCCAGTGTTGGATCCCGCACTCGCCCGCCATTCTTCAAAGGTTTCTTGTTAGGTACCTCGTGTCGTGTGTGAAAGAAACCCCAAAAACACACTCGACAGCTAAGTGCAACGAGGCTTAGGCTTAGTCAATGCTTAGAGGCTGAGCATGAACCAAACTGAAACCTGGGTTAGGGTTAGATTGCTGATTGAATACAGCACCTTTCACATGAAGAACGCGAACGAGCCACATTCTGCTATTATTATTTCGCAAACTGCCGCCATTTTATTCCACCCCATTGACCAATCACAAGACTAGTTCCAGGAAAACCTCTACCAAGATTTAAGGCTTGTCTCGACTTGCCCGATTATTTTTATCTTGTCAACCCATAATTAGAGGACAAAACAAGAACAAAGGGAAAACCAAAACATTGTGACAATCATAAAAAAAAAAACAGACGAATAAACAAACAAGCAAACAGGGTAGGCCTGTCCCGATTGAGCTGCATAAAATGCTGGAAAGTTCCCAACTGAAATGCTAAAAAGTTGCCAAAAACATTGCCTCAAATCCGAAAAGTTGCTACCTAAATTTGTTGATGTTTTTATATAAACGTTGATTAAAAGCCTAATTTTCCGATCTTCACGTTAATTGCTAATAAAATTGGTCAAGAAAAATAGCTTGAAACCTATATTAGCTTTAAGAGTTAATGGCAAATGTGGGCGAAATTTACGGAACAAAACACATGGTTCATTTGACGTCTTGCCGAAAGTCATTTTAACCGATTATCTGTCGTAATCTTGGATAAGGATCGCAGTAGGTCTGCGAAACGCTGTCATGTGACAAGTTATGTGTCCAAAAGGTTGATAAACATTCATGAAATTGTCGGGATGAATTGAAGTTTACAATAAAATCGTTTACCTTTTCGTGCTTGATATGTGCTCTAACCTACATTTTGCTCAAAAATTGCTCAGAAAGGCAAAAATTGCTCAAGGTTGCTAGAACCGCAAAAATTTGCTTCAGACACCAATGTGTCCGATCACAATCGGGACAGGCCTATTTTAGGGCTTGGAGAAACCAAAAGGGTTATCAACTTTAAACAAAGCTAGGTCAGTTGATCAGGACTCAACATATGCATTCCGATTTTTAAAATTACCAAATTATTACTCTAGATAATTATAACATTGCCTTCTGCTAAAATTATTATTCTGCCCCTGCTCATAGTTTTACATCGCGATAACTGTGTTCCGATAATATACTCGATTCATTTGCATTTGCCTTACCAGACCGCCAAACTTACTGAGTTCGGAGTTAGATTCAAAATTTGCAAAAAAATATTTTCCAGTCTCTTCCCAGAGAAATTTAAAAATTTGCTCTCGATCCTTTCGACAAAACACATCTGTTTTTCAATATTGTCGGCTGGTTTGTAAAGAAGATGGGAAAGTTTGGACGCTTCCGTAGCTTGGTTACGTAGATGCTTCTGCTGTAAAAAAACAGATACAATGCTTACCAGGTGTCTATAGACGTTTGGCATCAGGTCAACTTTAAATCCATATTTTTTCCATATCATAAAAGCACTGATAAAAGCAAATTTTCCTTTCATGAAAGCGGCACTTTCCTTCAGTTTTGACTCAGAATTACACATGATCGAAAGCCTCAGGCAGTATTCGACTGGCATGTCCAAAATGGCCTGGGTGCATATTCCTTTTCTGGAAAATGTAGAGAGCGGGAAAATCTTGTCACCGGGTTCCTTCTTGAGACTAATCTGCGAGCATTTATTTCCATTTTTACGGTGCAAGGGAGGAAAGAAAGAAGTTTAGTGCACAATTTCTTTTAAATTTAAGTGGTTTAGAACAGCTCAAACGTGCGTTTTAGTGTCGAGTAAGATAATAAGTCTAAGAAGTCGGCCCAAAGTGTAATTTTTTAGTGGAGACTAAACGAACCTGCAAATCACATCGCGACTCTATTAAAAAAAGCGCTCACGACGCAAGTTGAAGACGGTGACAATCTCAGTGAAAAAGTGTCTCATAAGGGGTAGGAGGTAGGTAAATTCCAATCAGTTTTTTCCTCCTCAGAGCTTTGCTTCTGTGCACTCAATGGCATAGAGAAATCTGCCGTTTAGGGCTTGATTTGCCATCACTGTTATAATAGGAATAACAGTATTGGCAAAGCAAGCCCACAACGGCAGAAATCGCTAAAAACCACAATGGAAACACAGGGAGTGAGTACGTTTTATAAATCTTATGTGAAATGTTCGTAATTCGAAATATTTGGTGTTGTAAATGGACCATATTTCGCTCTCCGTACTATTCCCTAAGACGCGTTCAACGGTTCCTCGCATAACTTAACACCGCGTCGCACATCGCTTTCATGAATTTTACCTTTTGCTTTAAGACGCCTGTGGTCGATGCGGTCATCCCGCTAACCAATGAAAAGCAACATTTTAAAGTTGCCTGGGGAAAGGTCATCTCTTCTACATCGCAACCATATCAATTTTCGCTTAATAAAAAGTGGCGAGAAGGTTATTGTGAAGATAGAACAGTGCTCAACCGTTTCGATATGTCTTTGTGCCTCAGTATACTATTGCTTCATTTCAAACTAAGATACTTTTCAGAAAATAGTTCGGACGGTTTGTCACCAAACAGGCGTAGGAATCATGACCTCGACTGTCCAGCTGAAGTTAGAAAAAGGTTAATCTCTTAAGGTTACCTAAATGCCACAATCAGTACAATCAGCTCTCTCTTACCCACCATTCTCCTGGGCCATTCTCCTTTTTTAAGAACTGATTTACCTGTCTAAAGTAATTGGCACGCGCAAACAAATAAACTGAAAAGTTTCAATCAGCAGTTGATGATGAACTGTGTAAGGGTGTGAGCTATTCCTATTGGCTACCGAGAAAATCTACCTTGAACTCGACAAATGACACACGATATTTTCCGATCTCAGTTTTTCACACAAGAAGATTTGAAAGGAAAAGTAATTGGAATATCAAAAGAGGCTCACACGTTTTGGCGCGTTAATAACCAATGAATATTTTGGCCTAGTTTCGTAAAAATTAGCAAACTCTACACACCCTTTTAGGTCGCTCAAAGTTAGGGAATCCCACAAAAATAAAGCCTGAGTTTTTTACTCAACTCATCAAAGCAGTTGTCAACGCGATCATGCCACCGACCAATGAAATACGAGGCTCCAATTAACAAATAGTTTCCGTAACCGTACCGTCTGTGATGACTTCAAAATGCGGCGAGAACAAAAAAAAAAAAAAGCCACTGATGTTCTTAACATATTTCGACGTCTAAGGGATCAATTACTCTACAGATCCACGGCACCAAGGAATCTATTTGTACAAGAGAATATCAACTGTTCATATTCTCTTGATTTGTTTTATACGATGAAAATGCAAAATGTTGTTAATGGCAACATCCATACGTCTGTTCTCTCGGAGAATATAAACAGCTTTTAATCTCTTTGTAAGAACCAATCAAAATGCTTGTACGGCTCGGTTTATCAAATAAAAAATGATCCTTTATATTATATATCATTCTATAGTCAAGTCGCACATCTCAATGGGGGAAAGTGAGGTCCACGAGAATATATCCTGAAAGTAGAATGGCAGAAAAAAAAAACTAAAACGTAAAAAAAAAGGCACTACTAGCGAAAGAGCGGAAAAGTAAATGAAACCAACTGCGAAACTAGAGGCCAGAATCGATCTACCGACGATCTCCGAAAAAACAAAACTTGGCCATAAATTAGCATACTCGGTACTGTAACTATTTTGTTACCGTCTTCTTAATTTTTAATGAACTCATATCATTTGTTTACGGACTTTTGCTCGAAAATTAACCGATGCTGGTGGCCTAACCGTTGCGAAACAGCAAATCCCTTGACAAAACAAGACTCTAGGACAAAAGTAGATCTTTCAAATCGGCCCTCTTTATCCTCAAGGCAGCAACAAACGCTTTTCATCCAACTTATCTATTGTTTTGTTTTCACGTTTCCATGTTCCAACCAATAGCGAAGCCCCATTTTTCTGTAGATAACCATACATCCCGCAATTCCTTTATTCGCTCTGACGAAGGGCTAATGCACGAAACATCTGCTTTAGAAACTCTCTACGATGGATAATTTACATTGTTAAATCATTTTATAA